AAAAAGAGAAAAAGGCATAATGAATTTGGTACAGCACATATTTTTAGATCAAAGATGCCTTTGAAGTGACAAACCCTTAATCCATAAACTACTGAAGCACTTCCTTTCTCTGCCAAACTACTTGTTGTCAAATAAAATGGAAGTTAAGGAAATTATCTTTATCTGAAAATGGCCAAAAGAAGCCATCACCTAATGACAGCCTTGTCAAAATGACAATTGGGGAAATTGTTAGGAAGGGGAGGCCTGACGACTGGAGGAATAAGCTGGCTGTTTGCTCTAATCTGGTCAGGCAGGCCCCACACAATTCCAGTCAGCTTGCTGTGTGAAACAGCTAAGTCTTTGTCAGCCCGGGCAGGGGCTGGAAAGATTTCTCTTTCATGAATATGTATCACCCCCCTCCCCGGCTACAGGAAAAAAAAAAAAAAACCTAAACCTTCCAAACAGCAAAATAAAATAAAATGAAAAAAACCCCAACAAATCCCAGAACTACAAAATCCTGAGATATGGAGCCACAGGGATGGAAAAAGCGAGTAAGGAATGAGAGTGCACGTTTTGGAAGTGCAGCCAGAAGGAGCCTCCTCCCAAAGGCTTTCTTTGCACTTTTATGCCCCAGCAGGCTGGGATGAGGCACTTCAAGTGCACAAAGAGAAGGGCCCATCGGGGTATTTAATGTCCATCACTTTTGGGTTTAGATCTGGCCTCGGTGGCACCAAACCCCACAGCACGGAGCTCACAGGAATTCCTTGTGCCAGGAGGGAATCACCCCCAGCAGGTCTGAACACTGCCAAGGGCAGGCACGGAGGCAGCTTTGGATCAGGGGCAGAAATTCCCAAATTTCATCCCACTGAAATGGTTTTTCTGAGAGGTGCCCACGACGTCTGTAAATGAAACCCTTCACAACACGTGGAACTGAAACTGCTGAAACTCCTGCAAACCCAAAAATGGTGTTTAAAGCAATGGGTGGGCAGATGGGAAGAGAACACAGGATCAAACAAAGCCCATGCCTGCTGCAGAAAACCCAAATGAAGATATTTTAAGCTGTGGTGGGTTTTGTCTCTGTTGGAGAACTACGACATCACCAAAGCACAAAAATCAATGTCTGAAAAGTTACCTTCGAGTGCTTGCTGCCATCTTTGTAACTTTGCCTGTAAAACTACAAGCCAGATCTTGATTTATTGCAGGGAGCTTGTGGTGATATCATAAACTTCAGTTTTTCTGGAAATAAGGAGCAGAATATGCATGTTTGGCTGCCAGCAGAGACATCAAGACACAGCGCTCAGTTTTGAGGTTCCCAATATTATGCAATGTTTGCTGTAGAAATTTCCATCCCATTAGCATATCCTACTCTACACGAAATCCAGCAATGAATGCTGTCCCTGATCTGAGGCTAATCCTCTTTAAAGAGCTACAGGCTATATTACATGTGGCCACAGCCACGGTTCTGCCAGGGCTGGATCACTTTGAAGCCTATTGAACAGTGTTCCCTTGTGAGGCCATACACACAGAGCCATAAAGGGATGCTCCCCGTGCTCTGAAATCCTGCTGGCTCCATCTCCAGGAGTTCCTCTCAGGGACAGAGCAGAGTGCCAGGCAAAGGGCTGCAGACAAGGAAGAGACACCAGGCTGCACTCACCACCCCTCACTGCCAATTTATGTGCCCACAGTAATAAAAATCCTTTTTTTTCCTAAACCTCAACAGCAGCTGCCCCCCAAGGGAGGGCTTCCAGAACAACCAAAGGTGAAGGAGAACCAGCTTCCCTGAGTAGGAAGGAAGCTGTTTGAGTAATTTGGGAGGCAGACATATCTGTCTTGGAAGGGAAAAGAGAGAGATGGTCGTGGATGTACCTGTGAGGCTGCTGGGTGCCCCTGAGTGCTGTAAACTGAGATAATGGAACTGTGTTTTTATTGTGGAATCTCCAACACCTTCCCATCTTTTCCCTTAAAGGGAAAAAAAAAATTACAAACCAATAAAAAAGTCACTATATTCTCTGGCCCTGCTACATATCAGCAAAATACAGCTTATATTATCTTTAATTGTTCAAAATTGCTTTCTTTGTTCAACGAAGGGAGCTGGACTCTGCTCAGCCTTCACTGTGCACATAAAATTTTCTCTGTCTGAATGGTGTCAAACCAGAGAAGGAGAGTGGATTCAGCCTCCACACTAAAATGTGGGGCCTGGTGAAGGCAATGTTCATCCTCCTCGCTATCAAAATAGCCACAAAAATTATTTTTTCCTTTGCAGCAGAGGGAGAAAGGGTCCAGAGAAAAAACAAACACAAAGTGGAGGGAGCAGCAGAGGGAATAGGAAAAATAATCAGGAGGATGGTGAGAGGGAAGAACAGCAGAGAGCAGGAGGGAAAGGAAAATGGAAGAGAAACTGAGAGGGAAGAGAAAGGGAGAAGCCAGCCAGGCTCTAAAGGAGGACCAAGGGCAGATCCTGATGTAGAAGGAAAAAGAGAACTTGGAAAGTGACACGAACAAAGTTCATCTTGTCAGGAGCACTTCTCAGCAGTCAAGGTGAATATTCCTCATCAGTTTATTCAGGTCAGATGAGAAGAAAGGAGGAAGAGCTCTTTTTCCTGAGTAAACAAGGATCAAAGAAGGAAATAAACAGAGGGAATTGTGCCCTCTCTTCCTCATTTGGAAGATCTCCTCTCTGCTTAGGGAGCTGCTCTTGGCACTGGGAGCTAAAACTTCAGGGAACACACATCCTCTCCTCCCTCTCACAGTGACATCCAGTGGAATACAGTGGGATATCCCTGGAGGACACCTGCCTTTGGGAAGGGCCTGTCTCTTTTCTCTTTGAACACGAGGCACTCGGCTGCTGCACAGTAGCAAGAACTCATTGCAGAGCCTCACTACAGGTTGTTGCACACTCCATTAGGCCTTTCCCGACTCCTGGAAGTTATCACTGCCATTACCTTACAAGCACCTCGACAACTCTTGCGCTACCAAAACTAAATTTACGACTAAAAACGAAAAAACAAAGAAAAAGGAAAGAAACCCCACCGCCAATCCAACAACTAATAAGCACTAAACGTAAAAAATTCCCAAAAACAAAGCTTGTCTTCCCGTGTCTGGTCACACATTGCCATCTACTGGCTCCCACTCCTGTGCTCCCAATTCCTGCTGATTCAGCAGGGCGAGGATAATTCCATCGTGTAAATTTAAACAGCAGAGACAAGGAGAAAGTTTCAGACTGGTCTGGAAAGGCTTTTATGCCATAAGAGAGACAGAAGTATAAAGGGCATTTTTCCCAAGTGTCCAAGAAATGTCGCCACAGCATTCCCAACTCACAAGCACTCCCACAGACGATTAAGAGACTACACTTGTATAACTCTTCTGACCTACCATGAACATGCCAGAAAGAGAAAGAAACACATTTCCCCTCACTGTTTCCTAAGCCAGTTAGGACTGACAGCAACATAAAAGTTCCTGGTGTTTTCCCATTTCCCAGATTCACCTATGGATTTGGCTCTGGAATTAGAGGAATCACTTCTCAGAAGAACAACGCACCGTCACAGCCACGGCAAAACCACCTCGGTCTTCCAGCCAGAAAACCACTAAATTAGCCCAAACACCACATTTATCTGCAGTTTCGCTTTCCACTGAAGAAATTTCAACTAAAAGAAGAAGTCATCGTCACACTGGAATGATCTCTACTACAGAACAGAAAAATTTTAGCAGGAAGATCACCCAAAAACCCCACAGGCACAGAGTGCCTGTATATTTTTTTTTTTTTCCCCTCATAAAGGGCAAACCTGGAGCTGTTTTCCTGAAGCTGGCAGCGTTTCAATTGACTAGAAACTTATTGAAGAGAGAAGCTGTAAATCCAGTTCCTGCCCTCCCCTGTACAAAATCACACAGAGCTGTACTTAAACCATAAAACAATAAAGGAATATGAAGCTAATTCGACATTACACAATCCTAGGGGAAAAAAGGGAAAGGTCCTTACATACCTCAATAGACACAAGTATCAAAATAATCCCGTCAGAAAAGTTGTCTGATGACCTGGGACTCGGCTGTTTCTGGAAAACAAAGGGCTGACGGGAATTATAACCATCGACAGATGCAACAAACAGCAGGGTTGCGCAATTCTGGCTTTTCCAGAAGGCAACAAACTATTTAATTTTTCTTCTGTGCGAGCACACAGGCCCAGCGCTGCCTGCTGTAAAAAATGCCTTCACCTGTGGGAGAAAGTGGGAACAATCTCTTTTCCTTCTCTGCTTTTCAGCACAACTTCCTGCAAGACAAGGGAAAATAAAAAGAAAGATAAGTGAGGGAAAGTTTTCAGATCAGTTCAGACCATGGCTGTTTGCCAAAGGAGGCGCAATGAACCTCAACTGCGGTTGCTTAAAGCAAACAACCAAACATTTTAAAACAATCAACTTAAGAACACTATCAGGTCAAGTGCTATGCTTATACAGCGCTTCCCAAAGCGTTTTACTCCTCAAAGCGTTCATTCGGGTGGGTAAAACCGGAATTATTTTATCTGACAGCTGAGCCCGTGGACTTGCGATCCCTGCCGCGGCTCTGAACACATGCTCAGAGACCCCGAACAGTCCCGTGGCTACTCCTTTAGAGTCATCCACTGCAGTGAATAATTTAACTCTTATTTTCTTTTTTTTTTTCCCCTTTATTTTTAAAGACGCCCTACTTCCGGCCCCGCGGTGCCCTCAGCGCTTCCCGCCCCAGCTCCTCCCGCCTCCCGCTCCTCCCGCCTCAGCGCTGCCCGCCGGCTCCCTCACGAGTTACCGGCACTGAGGAGCCGCTGGAGCCCCGCTCCCGGCAGGTGAGGAGGCGGCGGGGCCGGGCGGCCGTGAGGGGAAGGAAGCGGGCGGGATAGATCGGCGGGCATGTCGCCGGGCATTTCCCATGGGGTCGGTCCGGGAGGTCCCGGGAGGTGGCACCGAGCCTGCTCCGGGAGCCCGTATTCTTAGGGCTTCCCGCTGTTCTGCTGCCTCTGGAAGTGGGGGTGATGACACTCGCTGTCCCCTAGGAGAGGATGATGAGGTGAGGCCACGGTGGAGGTGCGGACAGCAGCGGGGCAGTGTCTGCCTTGGGGCTGAGGGAGAAATCTGCAGGAAGTTTTGTTCCTCTTGGCCAATGCACTCCGGTAAGTAGAAACTCCTTTAGCGTTTATGTGAAGGAATGTTCAGTATGCTCGACCTCGGTGAGCCTTTGAGGCAGCCGTGAGGGGATCGTGGGTCTGTGGGAGCTGCCGAGAGCCGGGTTCATCAGGGGGTGCTGCCGAAGCAATGGGTGGCTGTTCTTTTTTTAATTAATTCATGTAGCCACCTGTAAAACTCAGTAATTTGCACTAAAGTCGTGAGGCACAGAAGTGTCTCTGAAGCGCTCAGTGGTTTTCCCCTTCACCAAGGATTGCCTCGTGTAATATCCCCTTAGTGGCGCTCAGTGGTTTTCCCCTTCACCAAAGATTGCCTCATGTAATATCCCCTTAGTGGTGCAAAACAAGGAAGGGCAGAGCGGGACACGGGGCCCTCCTGTCCCACAGAGCTGCTTCCAGTGTCCCAGAGAGAGCTGGGGAATCTTCGAGGGAGGGATTGAGAATGGTGCCACCACAGCTTGTGGCTCACAGATGGCAGAGGAGCAACCTGCTCTCAGGGCGTCTGTCTGTGTTCCTGCCAAAAGCACAGATGATGTTTCCTAGCTTGTTTTAAAGGGAGCTCTGCTGGAAGTTCTGTGTTTCAGTAACCAAGCCGAGGTTGCTGAGCTGCTGTGCCAGGACTGCGGCTGGTTTTGTGTTAAAGGTGCAAAGGAAGCAGCTTTGAGGTTTCACAGGGAAAGCGATGCACTGATACACCGCCACGCACTGTGCGTGGTGTTTGGGTGCAGTGTGTAAAAACCACAAGTCAACTCCATCATCACAAAACACAATCATCGCTTCATTGCAGTGGTGATTCAGCTGCTCATAAAGCTCTGAATGGAGCTGGTGAGCTCCAGAGCTGTGTGAGACACGCTGGGAACTTACTGCAATCTGCGTGTGGAAACATCTGCACTGTGTGATACCACTTAAATGGCTGCTCACATGTTTCTCTGGTGAGTAACTGGGAACTCATTCGCTGGTTTCTGCTTTCAGATAGCAAGACTTTCCTTTTCAAGGCTCACTTTTGGTGCGGGAGGACACTGGCCTTGCATTTAGAGAACCACATGGCAGTCTTTCCTGAGCTGTCTCAGGTTTTATTCGGATGCACTGCAGTCGCTCAGGCTTTGGAACAGAATTTGTTTCATGAGTATGTGATCTCTGTGAAGAACTTTAAAAAACATCACAAAACTACCAAACCCAAGAAAAGTCATTTCTTTTAGCACTTCTGCAGCAGCAGAGAGCTGGGATTTTCCAGCAGACAGTGGGGAAATAGCCAGAGCTGGTGACAATTCCTCTTTTAGGTCTCGCTGACGGCCCAACTTTTTACATTCACTTTTCATGCTGTCCCAGCAGTCACTTTCTAAACACTTTTTCCCTGCAAGAGGTCAGTTCGGACAGCCAAGGAATGCTTTATAAATATTTGATTTACCACTGCCTGCAGACAGACTGTTGGTAAAGATCTCTTGATACCTGAGAGCAGAGCACACAGGCCCAGCCAGTACTGCCTCACCCCATTTTAAATCTACCCAGCAAATCTTAGTGCTAAATATTTCCTGCAAAGATAAATCTGCCTGTGAGACCCTCACGAAGAGCTTGCTGGCAGCACTGGTGACTCGTGGCTGCTGAGCTCCCACTCCTGTGCTTCCAGGTACCTGGAAGTTCCGTGCAGTCAGTGGAGAGCGCAGGAAGCGTTTCGGCGCCGCGCCAAAACCGATTTGCCGCGTTCCGCAGCCGCTCCGTGCCGTCATTTTGCCGCCCCCTGCTCCCGAGGGCTCCTCTCGTCATGAGCTCCTTCGAGGAGGCCGAAACGGAGGAGACAGTGACGTGCCTCCACCTGACCTTCTACCACCCCGGCCAGGCCGAGAAGATGATGTTCCGCTGCCTGGATTTCTGCCGGCGCCAGCGGGTCCGGGCGGACGACGCGGCCAAGTTCGGCCGGGATTCCAGCCTCTGCCACTACAGCCTGGTGGACACGCGCGTCTCCCGCCTCCAGTTCTCCCTGCAGTTCTACAGGAAGCTCCACACCTCCGAGTACGGCTTCGAGATCAAGAACTTGAGCAAGAAAACGAAGCTGACCGTCAACCAAACGGAGCTGGGCTACTTAAACAAGGTCGACCTGCCCTGGAAGTGCATCATCTGCTTCGGGGACTACCAGATCCTGGCAGAGATTCAAGAAGGGGAGGCCGTGGATTATTTTGAGACCCACTTGCACTTGGCTGAAGCACCCATCTTACAAGAAAGGTGCCTGCCATCCCTGCAGCCTATCCCCGAGAACGGCATTGCTCCTTCCTTTCCTCTTTGCCAAGGAAAAAGCCCCACAGAGATTGATGAGAACGAGCTGTACTAGCGGGGAGAAGGAGGCTGGCTCAGCTTTTGTAGCCTCCAACGCACAGGGCCCTCACCTCAGCCCAGTGCTCTTGGCTGTGCACATCAGTCTTCCTTGCTTGGTGTTTCCAGCACAGGCGTTCCAGAGCGCTGCTCCACAGGAATGGCTTCCCGCCACTGCCTTCACGGAGATGCCCAGGAAGGTGTGGGAGATGAGCGGTCCCTGGAATCCACGGAGTCCCAGAACCGTGGCCACGTGCCGTGGAGGGATGTTTAACAGGCATTAATACAGTGGGGGTTTTGGTCCCAGCCAAGGGGTGACACAACGTCTCGTTGCATGTTCTACTTTGTGCTCTGCTTTGCACACCAAATTCCAAACAGTATTTTTTTGTGAGCCTAGGTTGTAACTTCACAGATTTTGCAACTTAGAAACACTTTGTCCTCTTAAGTTTATGTTTTTATTAGCTTCAAAGCAAGGTTTCTGTTTTATTTTTACTAATTTAATTAACTTTTTTTTTTTGCAAGTTAACTACTTTTGCTTGTGATGTAGACAAACATGTAGCATCAATGATCATGGTCTATAGAAATCCACATTAATTTTGCAATAAATACATTTTGTTCCCTAGTAAGGGTTTGCTCTATTTTATAGCTGCACTCTAAAATAATTTTTGGAGAATAAAATTATTTCCAGGACCATCAAGATAAGAGACTGTCACTGGCACTATTCCAGGCTTTCCAAAAATGCCATTGCTCCAAGGTAAGAATTTACTTAATTACTTTCAGGAAGTTTTCTACCCCTCCTCCTCTACCCAAACCTCTCTAATAATTTTCCTGTCTTTTAAGTATTTCTCAGGTTGTTTCAGTCAGGTTTTTCTTTGTCAGGGGCTCAGCTTTTCATGGGCATTTGGCTTTTTTTATTTTGTCAAGTATTTTAGCTTGCTTGAAAGACACACTGGGGAAGGATAGGAGTTACCCATTTTATCACCCCTAAATATTAGGATGCATTTCAGCATTAATCATTCCAAGAAAACCATAATTATGACTGAGGGGAGGAACAGCTGAGATTAAGGCAACCAACCACAAGTGAGAGAAAGCCATGGGAGAGGCAATGAAACTCAAACACAGGCTTATGAAGGATTTGTCTGTTCATCTCCTCTGTGACAAAATTACTTTGTTGCCATGTTTTCCACTCTTGGAAGCAGGCTCTGGTTTCCAAACAACAATCACTTGCTCAGCTGTATTTACCTGAAGAAAGAATCAACCATGTAAAGTGCACATTAAAAAATGGATTGTCTCCTGTCACTGCATTGATCTGACCAGCAGAAGGTAATTCACACAAGGAAGGTTATTTTGCCTTTAAAGGGTGTGGGTACAGCTGCTCATTTCCAACAGGAGAAGGGCTCCATGCTCCAAATTCCTCAGGTCTTCTGCAACAGGTCCCCAAAAGGGACACTGTGGGATTCAGCAGGGCTCTGACATGGCTGCCACAAACCCAGCAACAGATACCACACTGCCAAATGTAAGACTTGCTGAAAATTTTAATGACTCTTCAGTTTGTACAGGCAGGCATTTTACAGCACCCTTGAACTGTTCCACACGAGCTGTTTTATGGAATCCCTCCGTTCCTCAAACCCCCACAGGGATGGAGCATCACTTCAAAAGTCGCCCTGAGCACTGCAAATGTTATCACCAACCATGGCTACACAACATGCCCATCACAGAAAAAGCTGGAGTCAGCCTCCTTTTTCCTCAGTGCTTGTTCATCCCAAGGGCAGGACTGTCAGCTAATTCCTCAAGGCATGGTCAGGACAAGGTCACCTCATGTTCCCTGGCCAGCAGAAGTGGTGACCAGTGCAGGGGAGGTGACGGTTTCAGCAGGTAAAAAACATGTTATTTACATGTTGAGGAAGTTGCCTTCCCTCCTTCCCACAGGAATATAGTATACAAAGAAATATCCAGGAGAAGTCACACAGCAGTAGCTTAGGCCAAACCCAAAATATACATTTGATGTGTACAGGTCTTTAAAGCTGGTTACAAGTATTGCAAATAGAAATAATGGCAGTAAAATATTTTCAGTGGCATAGCTACAACTGAAATGAACATATGGAATGTTACCAGCAGGATTTATCTGTTCTCTCGGGTTATCTGTACACATGTAACCCCAGTGTGCAGTATTTTTGTTCCTTATCCACCCTGCAGTGACCCAAATATTCCAAATAGCTTCGGATGAGCTAAACCACATTTTTCACACAGCTTTCACCAAAAAATTCAGTTCTGATGATTGACAGAGCAGGTTCATTACTTAGCACAACGTGTTCCCTTTTACTCCAAAACAAAGTTAAACCCTGTCACCCTTTTCCCCCTGGAAAAACGAGACAGCTGCACTACATAATGGCAGAGTAGAATGGCTTTACTTTGAAACTTTGGGAAAAGCTCTGCAAGTACTTTTCAGGTTCTCTTTTGTTAAAAAGTAAGATTGACATGGAATACCGGGGGAGACCACACGGCACAGGACAGCAGTGGTGCGGTCACTGAACACCTCCTTGGATTTCAGCCCGTATTAGCAGGATTAACCACCCACTTCAGAGGCACAGGAAAGGCAGAGCACTTTAACACACTGTTAAAACATGAAATTTTCTTCTTTCTTTGCAAAATGCAGGTGTAGAAATTCAGTCTTTAGGGTCTTGTTCTTCCCTCCCCCGGTTTGCTCACTGGATGTTGCTTTTCCATAAGTGTTCTGGTCCAGTGGAATTACAAATTTTTCACAACTGAAGAATTTTAAGGACCGTGTAGCAACAGAGGTTGGTCTGTGCAGGGAGGCTAGGAAAACAAGACTTTGGTCCTCCCAGTTCTCCACTGGTTAAAATTCCCATTTTATCGACATGTAAAGAGAATTCATATTTTATTTTTGCTTTTCTATCTAGCACACACTTACTAAGTCTGGCATATTATTATACAAGGCAGTACCTTACCTAACCTGATGAGTTTTGCTGTGTTCACTGAGGTTAACCGTGCTTAGCATGAAGTAATTAAAAAATAAAACAAATGGAAAAAGGACAACAGAAGACTAGGAAGGCTTTAAGCTTGACAGGGGAAAATCTGCAGTTTGCCACATGTCAGATTTGTTTTGCAGCTCTTACTTTTGCATCCTCTAAACAGCTGAAGAGCAGGTCAAAAAGCACGGAAATAGAAATATTTTAAAATTATTTCTCTATCTTCAAGTATTAAATAAATTATACAGGACTGTTTCTGAGATAAATATTAGGCCAACGATGAATTTTAAAACAAAATCAATAGAAACATCATCCAGAAGAAAAAAAGGCAAGTTAAAATACAGATAAGTCAAAGCTACGAAGCTCCAATTAGTGCAGATAGTTTGATATGAAATCCAGATACCCAGAAATATACACAGTAGTTTTCACAAAAGTGGAGAAGGTAGGTGATAAAATTGCACTTAGTTCTGAACCCATCCGGACGGCGAGCCGCTCCCGTCGCTCGCCCGTCCGCGCGTCGCAAAAAGCCCAGCGGGTTACAAAAGATCCCGGCGGCCTGGCGGGCTCCACTTCCCTTCCCGGCGTTTGCTGAGGGGCAGGGATGGTCACTATCTGTCCTGGCGCTCGGAATCCGCCAGCCTGACGTCCGAGGCCGACAGTTCCAGCACGGGGTTGACGAAGCCGGCGTACTCGGAGTTGCCGTTGTCGTCCACGGCGGCGGCGCCGACGAAGTCGTTCTCCCACTCCAGCCCGTTGGAATCGTCGGAGGCTGAGGCCGGGTGGCTCCCCGGCTTCCTGCTGTTGAATTTCAGCGCTGCCCGCAGGATGTCCTCCTCCGTCTTGGAGCGCTCCCTCACCGGGATCATCCTGTTCATGCCTGGCATTTAACACACACACACGTGAGTGAGAAAAAACACCTCCCCGTGAGTCTTCAACTAAATTTTGTGTTTCTGCCAGGAGAAACGAAGGTAGAGTTTGGGCAGATGCTGCATTCAGTCGTCCAGGAAAGGTCTGCAGTTTGTTTAATTGCACACAAGGTTCTGGACACTGCTCAAAGACATCTAAGACGTTCCTGATTTTGTCAGTAATTACAGACCTTGTTCACCTCTCAGATTGGCTAAAAAACAAACTCTTGCTTATTTTTGGTGAGCCTTTCAATGGCCAAGGTCTCAACTAATCTTCTGCAGGTTCAGTAAACAAAAGAGGAAGTATTGCATGCAGAAATCTCCTGTAACAGCAGCAATGATACTGCTGTGTCATTGCTGGGATACTCCTTGGAATGCAGATCCAAGTTCCCAGTGGATGTTACAGTGTAAGTAATAAGGGTTTTTCCCAAAATGTTGAAGTCAGACTCCTGACCAACCTCCACATTTTGAAAGGAAGAACAAGCTCTTCCTTCTGCTCCTGGCTCACGAGAGGGCAGCATTTCTTTACCATTGCTTTTGTCAGGAGTTTACAAGTCAGTTCCACAAAATGCAGGGAAATGAATTCATTTATCTACTGGAGTATCCTAATAAATTAATTCATTTATTAGGGCTATCTCCACATTTATCAAAAATAAGGAACTTTCTCGGTAAAAATAATTTATAGTTTAACCATTACAAACTTGTCAGAAACTCCATCAGAAACAAGTTTTAAATCACCTTCCCTTTTGAAAATGACACATTTACAATGAGCACAGCTTGAACTGTCAACATCTTTAACTTTTGGGCTCAGGATGGAGCTGAAATGCAGGATAAATACCTTCTTCATCCTCCCACTCTAAATCCAAGGAGGTGCTGTCATCGTTCCCACTCACTGATTTGGTTTTGGTCATCAAGTCACAACTGCTCTCCGTGTTGGGTGTCAGCACTGTGGCATCAGATGAAAGCCCTATTTAAAAAAAAAAAAAAAAAAAACAACAAACCCATAATGTGTTTTTAATTCGTAAATGTACTTGAATTTCAGGTTAAACATGCAAAAGTAAAATTTTAAATTAAGATTTCATTGTGCTTTGTGGCCCTTTAAACCTCAGGAATGTTGGAAAAGGCACTTTTATCAGTTCAAAGAGTAATCAGTAGCTTATAAATAGTCAATATCACTGAGATATTCCCTAATTAGAGCCAGAAAGGAGTTTAATAAGCTGTAAGCTGAGCTGTATGAAGACTTGTAAAAATAAAAAAACCCAAACCAACCCTCTCCTCCCCAAAAAACCAAACTACTCACACAGCCACCAGTCCTCCACCTCAGTGGTTGTCATGTACTGTCACCAAAACTTCCAGATAAAAGCTTATCACATTGTTTTCCTCTAAAATGTTGGTGGAATTTTTTAGTACGGGCAGCCAAATTCACCCCTTGCACTTCATTAGGAAAAAAAGGAACCATTAATATGGTTCTAATTACTTTGCCAAGGGATGATTTAAAAAAGCTATGAACACATATTTGCATCTTCAGCTGGTTTTACAAGAAATGTTCACCACCATCTTTTATTCATCAGATAAAAAAATTACCGGATTTTAAAATTACAGATCCATGTATAGACATTTTATATTTGTGTGTGTAAACATAAAACTATAAATAATCTGTGTTTATCTAGGAAAAGAAGCAGCATTCTGTGCCCCTCAGGGTCCCTCAGCATTTGAAGATGTGCTTAAGGAAAGGCAGACTTACTGCTGCTTCGGAAAGCTTCATACTGGAATTTTGTATTCCTTAGGAAAGGATCGAGGTCTTCCTCTGCCACACAGCTGCAAAAATGCAATTTTTACAGCTTTAGAAACCTCCAAGGGTGCCATGAAAAATATGTTATGCCAGGTGCCCCCAGGTCTGTGCTACAAAGCATGTAAACACTGAACTAAATGATTTATAAAATCATCTACAAAATGCCTTTCTATTCCTATTCATCACATCCTCCCCCAGCCTGTGCTTCTGCTCAATTTTTATTAC